CGAAGGAAGACGGAGATAGATGAGGGACACGGAGATGAAGAAAAAGTAAAGCATGGTAAAGAAGTAGCGATTAGGTAGGACAGGAGAACGGAGGACGCCGTAGCGGGATTAGTGAGACGGGGACGGGAACGGGTAGGCGGAGTACGACTTCTGCGTACGACTCTTGAGGAACCCGTCTAGGGGTACCCGTGATCCTGACATTCGAATGTATTTTATGTCAGGACCAGACGCTTTGTCCCGCCGGGCGGACTACAAGCCGTCAGATAGTAAACAGTCCTCATTGTCTTCCGAACTAAACCCGTTCAATAACCGACAACTCCTGTCCAGCGAGCAATTATTGTCAGCCATGGACCGGGAACCTAAGAAGACTATTCGCGTTGATGAGGAGGAGGATCGGGAAGAGATATTGAGGAACGAGCATGGCTCTAAGCACGCCGGACACACAGGTTGGAGGCCGACATACAAGCTGTCACGGCCGTCGAATAACTTCTGTCCAATAGACCGACGGTTGACGAACCTCGGCTAACTTGGTGGTCCTAATTCGATGTCTCACCCAACCAGGAGGGCGCAGACGTCGAAAGGAGTGTAACTACGGCGTACTTCGGCGTAGTTACTCTAACTGGGATTTTGTTCTACTGATGGCAATGTATCTCGATTGTATATAGCTATCTCTATCTGTCTTTCACTACTGACAACAATCAAGGATCGCTGAAGAAGTTCAGCGATCTGTAAACTATCTATACTTCCCCTCTCTTCTCGTAGAACGTCCCTCAACCCCTGTACAGCCTCGCGCTCAGTCCCCTTCGTTCAACTTCGCCGTACCTCGCCATATCCCCGGTATCCTACTCCGACTAACTTCGCCTAACTTCCCCTACTGCACTCTCCCTCGGTTTCCTTCCCCTAACTTCGCCGTAGTTCTCCGTTGGTCGGGGTTGTTGTGACTAATAATCCCTAGGTTCTCGTAACTTCGTCGTAGTTGGTCTCAGTGCTTCGGGATGGTGGTGGATAGTGGTTCGGTGATAGTGAAAGGAGGGTCGGTGATGGTGGTTGTCAGGGATGTCACGACATGGTTTGTGACACAAGCGAATCATTCGCTACTGGTGGTGGCCGGGAATGAAGGAGGACATTCGGAAATATTGTCAAGAATGCGAAGTATGTCAACGTACAAAAGCAAGACGACAAGCCCCCGCCGGTTTACTCATTCCACTCGACGTCCCCGGAGCCCCCTGGTCGGAAATCACTTGCGACTTTATCGGTCCCCTCCCACGCTCAAAGAATTTCAATGCCATACTGGTGGTAGTAGACCGTCTAACAAAGATGGCAGTCTTCATACCTACGGTTACCACACTGTCGGCAGAAGATTTCGCAGAACTATTTATTGAAAAGTTCTATACCAAATTCGGGATCCCTGATTCGATTGTCTCGGACCGCGGTAGCATATTTGTTTCCAGGTTTTGGAAAACCTTAACTACATTATTGGGAACAGATTTGAGGTATTCAACCGCCTATCACCCTCAAACCGACGGCCAAACAGAGCGAATCAATCAATGGCTTGAACAATACCTTCGCGTATACGTCAATACGGAACAAGACAACTGGAGTTCGCTTTTACATTTTGCAGAACTCTGCTACAACACGAACTACCATAGCTCAATCCAGATGTCCCCTCTTTCTGCTTACTCAGGGAGGGAATACCGAACCGACATGATGCAGCCAATTTTTGACAAGGCCACCGACTCACCCTCTCCACCAGCTATCGCACGTGTTAGTGCCCTAGGAAGATTACAGGAAAGGCTCAAGGAAAATCTTCGGAAAGCTCAGAAATCGTATAAACATCAGTACGACAAAGGGAGAAGGATAGCTAGTTTCGAGAAGGGGGAGAAGGTTTGGATAGACAGCAGGAACCTCAGAACCTTGAGGCCCATGAAGAAATTGGATAACAAATACATCGGTCCCTTCAAGGTTCTAAAGAAAATCAACGACAATGCTTATAAACTTGATTTACCCCCACATATGATCGCGAATGGTATCCATTCGGTTTTCAATGTGAAGCTATTATCAAAAGTTCAAGGGGAAATTCAGAATCCGCAGCCAGCGATGGTCGCATTACGAGAAGAACCCCAGGATTCTGAGAAGGACACTTACGAAATCGATAAGGTCCTTGCGAAAAGAACAATTAGAGTCTCCGGAAAAGGAAAGAAGGAGGTTCAACTGAAAATCAAATGGGTTGGCTACCCAGTAGAAGAAGCTACTTGGCAACCCATGGATTCGATTAGTGATAATCCCAAAGTCAAGGAATACTTGAAGCTTTGCGAAATGCGGAGAGCCGTTGCCGACGATGTGAACGAGGATTTCGTTCCCATTCTTCCGGCAAAGAGACAAAGAAAACCGACCGAACGGTCGCGGTTTTCGGAAACCTATTAGGTTTCCGGAAACACCTAGAATCAAACATACTTCGACAAGACAAGAAAAGGGATCACATGTTTCACAAAATCTTTTAGATACTCTACAAATTCGTTTCTCCAAAATAGATTTCATTATACACACACCCCGCCAATCCAACAGACTATTCGGGGGACTCCCATCGTACTAGCCCATCGTCATCTGTGTGAGGAGAATCCTCACGGGCCTTTCCCTTTCTCGTCTTCGCTTTCTTTGCCCTGGGAGTAGACGACGTCCCTGCGGGCAAGGGGGAAACGGTTCTCTTGGCAGCCGGTCGGGGAGGCTCAAATTGCCACGATCCGACTGCGATATCGTCATCTAGATAATACGACGACCACTCTCCGAAAGCACGACCGGGAACTCGCTTATCCTCACCTTGGATTTTTGCTCCGTCAACGGCCTACTTTGTTAGCGGAAAGCCCATCCCGGAAATATAATAGCCTACTAGAGCTACTTTCTCCACCATAGCATACGCAATATCCACATGTTCAAAATCGCGATTGGCCGGCTGATGTAGATGATGGCCTGCTTCGGCCAAATGGGCCAAAGCCGAATCGAGATGGGGAAAGAGAGCAGAGAATTGCGCCATCGAGAGTTTCAACTGGGACCGAGGTCCAACGCGGGAGTCCACACATAGATTACAGGTGCCCCTATCAATGAGGCACCAAAAGCAACTTTCCGCTCAGCGACTACCCCTCACCGAGAATGCGTAATGACTTACTGGCCGGCGACCCACACTTTACGAGAACCCGAGAACCTTACAATTGGGACTAGGCAGTGCCACTTGTTCATCTTCGAGGACCACCTACCCTTTCGCTCCTTTAGCATGTCCGAACAATTAGAGCATGGTTTAGCCAATCTACCGATAATTTCGCCTTTCGTTTTCAACAGGTCTATAATCGGTTTGACCTTCTCCTTGGTTGACGCGGCTTTCAAATCGGACCACGCTTCGAGGTACTTTAGAAACCCCTACCCCATTTAGCGTTTCGGAAAGGGGCTTGAGAGGAAGCTTACCTGGGCAGTTGGACTTTCTGTGGTAATTGGAACGATTTCGACATCGTTATACGCGTTCTGATGACCCCCTTCTTTCGGAACAATAACCTCGCCATCCTCAATGTAAGGAGCCCCAACGGAATCTGAAAGCCCCCTCCCCGCAGCTCGCGCCAATGGAGTTCGATAGGCGACCTTTGACCCCGGAATTGGATCAGCTTCCGCGGGATGTTGCACGGGCACGCCGGCAAACGGGGTCCTGGGATCGGGATTGTTCTCACCCCGCAGAGGACTGCGATCACCGGTTTCCGAGGGCGGAGGCGGAGCATTCTCATTCTCGGAAGCCCCTTGTCGTAAATCATTTGGCCCCGAAACCTACCACCGAAAAGAATATCGTCAGCCATGAAATAGCGCTTTTAGGAAAGTTCTCACAGGAGCACGAGGAGGAAACGGGGGACGACGATCGTCACTGACGGTGTCAGACATGGTAAATCAGGAGATAGAGAGTCTAGATGAGGTTCGCAGCAAAAAACTCAAGGATGTTAGCAAAAGAAAGTGATGAGGGAAAAGGAAGAAGAAGAGAAGAGGATACAGGAAAGTGGATCTCGAGATCAGACAGTGTGATATTGAATTACACGTCATAATGTAGGGTGTTGGCTCGATCACAACATGCGCCCTCACCACCATCATTACTGTCCTCACTACCATCATTTCCGATAAAAAGGGCCACATGCCACTTTCGATTTAGTAGAATTTTGTTTTTCTACAAGACTAGACGACGTCGAGACGACGTCTACCGAAGGGGGAGAGTAATGTCAGGATCACGGGTACCCCTAGACGGGTTCCTCAAGAGTCGTACGCAGAAGTCGTACTCCGCCTACCCGTTCCCGTCCCCGTCTCACTAATCCCGCTACGGCGTCCTCCGTTCTCCTGTCCTACCTAATCGCTACTTCTTTACCATGCTTTACTTTTTCTTCATCTCCGTGTCCCTCATCTATCTCCGTCTTCCTTCGCTCTTACACCCCATATCGCTTTCCACATTTACTCCGTAGATTCGGTATCACTCCGCTCCCATTTTAGTATATAGAAACATCCCTTTTTCGTAGATGTCTTGTCGAATGTATTTTCTCGTCACTTAGCAAATCTTTTGCCACTTGATCTCATCGACTTATAGTCTCTTCGATCCACTACATCACTTGACTATAAACTACATCACTAGGTTTGTTCCCTACGAGGCCCTATAGCCATAGCTCATAGACGCAGACTATTTTCAACGTCTGGTCCTGACACCCGGCTTTGACAAGATCTCTTCAGGCTCAGTGATATTGGGATTGAACGAGCTTTTGAATTCTGAAGATGAGGACGCCACTATTTATGGTCCAGTTCTGGCAAATAACATCTTGTCATGCATTGACCTAAGCCATGTGAATCCTGAAGCTTTAAGAGCTTTCTTACAACTGACAGGGTCAGACCACTTTCCATGTCAACACTCCGCCCTGAAACTTACTTGCAATCACCAATCATTGGTCTCCCGGGTGTCCAACTCCTTCCTTCGCAAATTGGCAAACATGAGTCCCTTTCGACAAGACCGTGCATCCCTGAAGTTGGTGCAACATCCTAGAATTCGTAATCATACTTATTGGGTCCGTCACTCTAAAAATTTCTCTACAGATATGTCCAGGAGGGCAAGCAACTTGGAAACCTTTATGTATCTGTATGAAGCCTACTCAGAGAGGATCACTCGACCTTCAAATGTTCTTTCTGAAACCCTCAGGGACCTGGGAAGTTTAACAGAACAATTGGGAACGTTTATGGGTGGCTGTTACCACTATCCGCCCCATAATGGGGAGTTCATCAAACGAGATGAAGCCGCTTCTGGCTTAGATACATGCCAAGTGATAGCAACCTTGACATCAATGTTGTCTAAGACTGAAACATGTATGGAACGGGAGTGTGCGCGTATAGTGCATCTTAATGATCAATTGAGGCACGCCAACGCTCCTGACAGAGCTGGAGGAGCTCCTCAATTGATGGGATTTCCCCGACCCGCAACTGAAGCGCCATCTGACATACTCAAAGAGCTAACAAAAGTCTGTCACCAGGGGGTTGGGTATCATGAAACTCTAATTTCCTACATAACCCAACAAATCATGACAGGACTCCCAGACCCTGAACCATATGTCAACCGTTCTTAAAGCTTCAGTATCACTCTACCAACCGGAGCTGATCACGCTTCATGTACCGGGTGCGACAGTTCAACTCTTGGAGGCACATACAGAACTTACAGAGCTTTGGAGATCTATGTTACGGGGCAACAACGAATCGAGCGAACTCCATCGAGTTCGACGGATTAGGATAGAGAAGATCCAGAAAGGGAGGCAGTGCTGCAATTAGGTAGGGATGGGTTTTCCCCTTTCGAGATTTCCCAACTGGGTTTGCTCAAAGCGGTTTTTCACCTGTCCGGGTATGTACATAGACGCTTGCAGCAGGGAAGGAGAGGAGACACGGATACCTGTAGACAGTATATAGTACAATCAGCAAAGTACCAACTTTGCTGATTCTCCAATATCATTATTTGGCTACATCGATTGCAGAGGAGACACAATCCATCACATAGCACCAGAGACACATAGATTTCTACAAGGCTTCCATCGAGTTTGACCCAACCTGCAACTTAGTCGTCGTGTTTCCAGTACCGTTATGTCACGGCTGTCGAATAACTTTTCTCTAACGGACCGACGGTGGAGGAACCTCGGCTAACTTGACACTTCGGCTTTGATGTCTCACTCAACCAAGAGGGCGCAGACGTCGAAAGGGGTGTATCTACGACATACTTTGACGTAGTTGCTCCAACTAGGGTTTTCTTTGATGGCGATGTATCTCGATTTGAATATAGCTATCTCTATCAATCTTTCACTACTGACAACAATCAAGGATTGCTGAAGAACTTCAGCGATCTCCTCAGCTAATATTATCTACTCCTCCTAGATGTTTGTCCAACCCTCTCGCACTTAGACGTACTTCAACACACTTCATCCAACTTCCCCGAGTCCCCGGCTATCCTTCTCCTCCTTTGACTAACTCCGCCTATGTCACAATCGTCGTTTCTTCTTCTCTACTGTCGGGTGCCCGGTATTGTATGGATACCTGACTCGCCCGAACAATATAATATCCGTCAGTGAAGGTCAACTCTACAAACGTCTAAGGTCAGTATCTGTATCTGTATGAGGATGAGATGTGGTTGAAGGGTAGGTGGGTGGATGATATCGAAGACAGTTGAGATGGTGTCAAAGGTAGGTAGAGGTGATGATGATGATAGCAAGTATGATGAATGGGCAATGGAAGAGGAAAGGTGATGAGAGATGAGATGTGTGATCAGCACCTAAGGAGTTAGGTGATGATGCACATGAGGATAGAAGAAGTGAGTGGCAAATGTGTCTAGAAACCAAAGAAGAGTGAAAGTACAACAGAAGAAGTGATCCCCTCTTCTGCAGAACCGGCTCCCTTTATCTGCATTTCAGTCTTCGAGAGGATCAAATGTTCTCACAATTCGAGGTCGACATCGAAGAACTTCTACAAGAAAGTGACTATACTACTACTAAATAACAAGTCTATGTACGTACCGATCTGAACATATGGAAGAAAGGAAGGTCGAGAGAGTCTATACAGACAGTAGAGAAGGAATTACAATGAAGTGAGTGTGGGGAAGGAACGGAAGAAAACAAGTGAGAGATTGAAGAAGACTATATACAAGATGGCACTGAGAATGCACTGGTGTACTCCCTGTACACTATACATCTACTGACCGACGGTCGACAAACCTCGGCTAACTACGTCGTACTGGGGCGTCGATGTCTCACTAGGACAGGGTACTCGTCGAGGAGCTACGGCTAACTTCGCCGTAGTAATACATCGAGTGGTAAATGATAAGATGATCGTCGATGAACTGCGGCTAACTTCGCCGTAGTGCGTTGAACTGCTCGGTGGTAGCTCTCCCTAACTTGATGGTTGTAGCTACTGAATATATCTCTCGCTACTGACAACAATCAAGGATCACTGAAGAAGTTCAGCGATCTGTAAACTATCTATACTTCCCCTCTCTTCTCATAGAACGTCCCTCAACCCCTGTACAGCCTCGCGCTCCGTCCCCTTCGTTCAACTTCGCCGTACCTCGCCATATCCCCGGTATCCTACTCCGACTAACTTCGCCTAACTTCCCCTACTGCACTCTCCCTCGGTTTCCTTCCCCTAACTTCGCCGTAGTTCTCCGTTGGTCGGGGTTGTTGTGACTAATAATCCCTAGGTTCTCGTCACTTCGTCGTAGTTGGTCTCAGTGGTTCGGGATGGTGGTGGATAGTGGTTCGGTGATAGTGAAAGGAGGGTCGGTGATGGTAGTTGTCAGGGATGTCACGACATGGTTCGTGACACAACGTGGTTTGTGACACGTTACAATCTAGCAGGGACCTGTCAAGGATACTGCCCACCCTGGGACAGAGGACAAAGGACAAGGAGATTTGGACTAGGAGTGACAAGCAATATACTTAGGATAACAAGACTGAGTCCAACAAGGAATGGGACTGTGACCCAAGGAATGTCTCTGGCTTGTCTAACAAGACTAGGAAGGACTTGGACTGTAACTGTAACTGGGCTGGACTGGACTCAAAGAAAGGGTGGCAATGGAAATGACTTTTGATCAAGAACTAAAGAAGACTACAAAGTACTAAGTAGGGTTTATATAGACAAATCAGGCTTTCTACCAGGCTGAACCGTCCTGCATAGGAAAACACCGCAATCCTCGGCGTACCTATCATTTTCTAACTAACAAAGACAGACTGCACACTATTCTTGGCGTGCTGCGTGTAATGCGCTGTGGACTGCACAAGAAAGCACGCATCACGTCGTGAAACATACGCTTGCCTTAAATCCAACTGTACTGAAGTCTTGGGTCTCATGCCATACCAGGCATCATAACTGAGAATAACATAACTAACTAAAGGTTCAGGTCTCTTGCCTCAAAGGCATCAGAGCAGAACTAAAACATGAGGAAACTGATACTTGTGATTCATGACAGGACCCTATATCAGATGCCAGTGAACACAGTAGATGGTATTCTGACTTTACCCTGGACAAACGGAACCTTGAATAAGACGGGTGAGGAATATCTTGGATGGGTGGAAGATACACTAACAACACTTGAAATGTCCCCAAAAATCTGAACCTGTTTTGAGGACAATCATTTATCAAAAGGATTGTGGCAGTTGTTTGAGGGTGATCCTGAGGAGGTAGAGAGGTTAATTCTTCCTATCCCTTACTCTCTCACAAATAAGCTGAAAAACTGTTTGCTGATAATCAGATGATTATGCAGAGGGGGAAAAGAGCATGCATTGCAGGACGGCCGATCCTATCGGCTAACAATACAAAAGTCATTGAAGTCCCATGTTTGCAGCGGTGGAGGCTGCTCTTACTACATGGAAGCATGCTGACACCTGTTCCCCGCCGCAATGTTTTCCGGTAAAACTGTCACAAAGTGTGTGACAAGTCGAGCGAAAGTCGGGGAAGGGTATTTAACCAGCGATCGGCGGTAGGGTTAACCGCTGATTAATAGGCCTTTTCGTCACAGTGGTTAACAACACTGTCACGTTGGGCACTGTTATATCAAGCCAATGCTGGTTAGTTGGTCCTCGTGACAAAAACCCGCAACCACGGCTAGGTCCATGTCACAGCTCTGCATGACACGGACTACATGGATTCCGTTGTTGAGAGTGACTGCATACTGTGTTACTGACCGGTAGTTGTTTCAGGCGGCACCTGGTAGATCTTAGCTCTTCTGAAAGCAATGAAGATGTCAAGGATACTGCCCACCCTGGGACAGAGGACAAAGGACAAGGGGACAAGGACTAGGAGTGACAAGGAATATACTTAAAATAACAAGATTGAGTCCAACAAGGAATGGGACTGTGACCCAAGGAATGTCTCTGGCTTGTCTGACAAGACTAGAGGGAACTGGAATGGACTGGACTGGACTGGACTGGAATGGATTGGACTCCAAAAGGGTGGCAATGGAAATGACTTTTGATCAAGAACTAAAGAAGACTACAAAGTACAAGATAGGGTTTATATAGACAAATCAGCCTTTTCCAAGAGGCTCGTGCAGACCTGCGGAATACGAGCGCCCTGAACCGTTCTGCACTGTCCTGCATGCATTGCCTTGCATCCCACCAATAACCACTGATATCCTACGATGCCATATCTGCGTTTACCTACGTCCTACTATGACATCCTACGGGATGCGCCGGAAGTCGCTCGACTTTGTCCAAGGTGGTCGATGAGGAACTATGCAGAACATAGAAGGGCTGCGAGGACAAGAGACTGAGAGATTATGCCTTAGCAGGCATTAGAACAGAGGAAGTAGAGACTAGAGAATTACTGGGGACTTATGCCTTGCAGGCATGGGAGCTAAGCACCGACATACTAAAATGATACTTGGAGTTCATGCCTGACAGGCATGAGAGCAGAGGTGAAATGTTGAAACACGAAAGTGGAGGTTGAACTTGTTTTGCGCAACAAGGAACACGTGATGGTGTGATTCATGACAGAAGAACTACCCGGCATGAGAGAGGACTGATTGTATGGGATGCTGGTCATCACCATGACATGGAGTTCAACATATCTGTCCTGTTCTGCTTTGTACAAGGCAAGGATGGTGAACACCCCTATAGCAAGGAGAACATTGTGAGGAGATTGATTGTTGCAGGATTTTAGGCTCTGATGACGGAAGCGTTTTCTCTTATTGGATGACCGGTGCGACGCTACGAGTAGAATACGATGTGCCACACTGCCACATTGGGTGCCCGTGGGGGAATTTGATCCCGTCTACCCCCACCCTTCACGGCCATCCGTCCTCCCCATCCGCATTCCATCCTCCACATCTCCACATTGTCATTACTCTTATCTACCTCTCTTATGACGGCCACTCTTCCTCGAGTACTCTACACTCTCCCTCGGGCTCGTCTCGCAGTACCTGTTCTGAGAAACGTGAGGGGACATGCCGCTGCTGTGGACCCTCCTTCTTTCAGACCCCCAAAGCCAGAGGATGGAGCGGTGAGACGTGATTGGACCAAGAGGGAGATACAAGATATATTTGATGGTCCTCTGATGGAGATCATCTTTCGTGCAGTGAGCTGTCCTTCCTTATCGTCTTCTTGTTATGTCATCAATGCTACGTGTCGGTTCTCATGCCACGCTAGTCTTTAGATATGGATTAGAACAAGCAGTGTAGCTGATTACATAGGCAACCGTACACAGGATGCATCATGACCCATCTAGAATCCAATTATGTACTCTGATGAACATCAAAAGTGAGCTCTTCATCAGGTTGAGTTGTATGAGATCCAAAGCTGACTGTCCAGCTGGTGGTTGTACCGAAGACTGCAAATACTGCTCTCAATCATCTTCTTACAAAACCCCTACGAAAGCATCACGACTGGTGGATATTGAACCTGTACTGGCTGCTGCGCGTAAAGCTAAAGAGAACGGTTCCACACGCTTCTGCATGGGTGCGGCTTGGCGTGATCTGGCGGGGAGAAAATCAGGCTTTGAAAAGATTTTAACTATGGTCAAGGAAGTGCGAGGGATGGGGATGGAAGGTGAGCTTCAATTCACACCAGTTTCGTCCCTGTCATCGAGACTTTTCCTGAGTTATGAGTATTGATTGACATACAGTCTGCACAACACTAGGAATGCTATCTCCTGAACAAGCTAAGCGATTGAAAGAGGCTGGATTGAGCGCCTACAACCACAATCTCGATACTTCTCGCGAGTTCTATCCAGAGGTGAATGAGGTCACTCAGACAGATGGCATGAGCTGATGAGAAGGTCATCACCACTCGTACATACGACGATAGAATATCAACCATCGAAGCGGTTCGTCAAGCTGGTATATCAGTTTGTTCCGGGGGCATCCTTGGTCTCGGTGAGAAAGATGAAGATCGAGTGGGATTGATTCATGAGTTATCCACGTAAGTTCATCCATGTTGAGATAGATGACTCACTAATGGCTAGGCTATCTGAACATCCTGAATCATTCCCAGTGAATACTCTGGTCCCTATCGAAGGTACCCCTTTAGAGAAGAACGATGTGAGTTTGGTGACTTGTGGAGAAGAAGTATGAAGACTGATGAAATAGCCTGTTTCTGTCCAAACTGTTCTCCGTACCATTGCCACGGCTCGAATGGTCTTGCCTACCACGATCATACGTTTGGCTGCTGGGCGTCACACCTTTTCAGAGACGGAACAAGCTATGGTCAGTGTCCTATCTACAATTTGCTGACCTCTTCTTCCCATTCCTCCCTTTGCTGATTCTCGAACTACCCTGTAATCTCCCCACATGATGACTCTTTCAGTGATATTCCGGCCTCAACCCATTCTGGTAACCTTCTTGTCTCTTCTTGCCCTTATGATCAATATCAATCCGTTGTCTACCTCTTCGGATCACTATACTGCTTTACTGTCATTGTCTACCTCGTCCCCATATGCTGACTCACAGGCATTCATGGCAGGCGCCAACGCCATTTTCACCGGTGAAACCATGCTCACCACTCCCTGTAGTGGTTGGGATCAAGATAAAGCTATGCTTTCTCGTTGGGGTTTACGAGGTCTTCGATCGTTTGAGGATTCAGAAGATATTTCAGTCCCGACAACACGATCTGAACTTGATAAGGCGACATTGTAGAATAGTGATCTATAAGACTTCATAGATCATCTACAAAATATACGTTTTCACTTTCAAGAAGGATCAATCATGTCATGTGGAAGAATATGTATATGGTATATGATTGGATTGCTTATACTTCTCATTCATTCATCTAATGTACTCGTCGTACTTTCCTATCCCAACCTTGACATCCTCATTGAAAAGTCTGAAATCGTCGATCGCATGAAGCAAGAACCATGACCCATGACGCATTGGATATCGTTCGTACAGTACGTTATCCGAATCCGGGTTTCCCGGAAAGAGAATTGAACCCACTACTCGCCTTGTTACTTTTCCGTGTTCAAGATTCCAAGATTTCAATGTGTTCCATATACTTTCTCATTCTATACATATCGAACAAAGCACATACCGCAAGAGAATACAAAAGAATACCCAATGCATCTTTTTCCGAATTCACCTATCCGTTCAATCAATGTTGGTCGAACACTAAACATCTTTTCATCTTACTATCTATCTCTCTTTCGATTCTTCTCTTCTTCATTTCTTTCATTCCTTTTCTTAACCTCCTTTACCTCCTTACTGATCCTAGATTTTAGGATTAGAAGATATCGTTAATTCTGCTAGTCAGATATTTTACACGTTCATTACGGCCTGGTGCTACTTTTTCTTTCTTTCTTTCTTTCTCATCCTTTACCTTACTGTACCACTTTTTTCTCATTCATCCCTCTGTATTCCTCTTCCTGTTCGTTCTCTCTCCTCTTTCTTTCACTGAGGACCAGAGTTCTTCCCGAACAATTGACACAAAATTGGGGGTGTCATCTCGTCCTCCTTTTTCGTACCCATCTCCAAAGTTACTCCGGACCTACACTTTTTTCTCTCAATTCCAGTCGAACTTCAATTCCATTCAAACCTCGAATATACCGAAGATATTTTCAACTGAACACGACTCTCATTACCACAAGAGTTCATATCGTGAATCGGAAAACCAAACATGCCCCCTTCACCTTTCCTCCCTCCACCTCCACCACGTCATATGATCAGATCAATATCCGTCGGGATTCATCCTTCGGCCATACCTACTGCTATAAAGGTTCCCCAACCTGTTCTTACTCCTCGATCCTTCCCGGTGGAGATCCGACCTCGAAAGGACGCTACCAGTATTGACATCAAGTTGAATGGGTTTAACAACGGAGATGAAATAGGAATCCAACCCGTGGATCGTATCGGCCGGGATGAATTCGGGAGCTTCGAGATGACGGAGGATCTTCAAGACCGGAGTGTGTTGGGGAGTTTTGACTCGATGGTGGACCAAAGATCATTGACGGATCTGATACCGGAGTTATTGGATGGAGACGATTGTGAAGATTACGACGAAGGTGAGGAAGATGAACCGAATGATTCAGACAATTCGAATACTTCAGACAGTGAGAATGGTTCCAATCCTTCATCGACATCGTCGTCGGGAGGAGATTCTTCTGGAAATGACGGTTCACTGGATAATGTCAATGATATACTTCAACGTAGAAGATGGAAACCTACCAACACTGATTCTTACACTTCACTCGATACTTGGGCAACACCCACTACCGATACCAACACCTGGAATCCAATCACCTCCAACACCTGGAACCCCACTATCTCCCCTACCTCGACACCACCACCGATCATAGTCTCACCATCAAGTAATATACTTGCAGCTGGGGAATATGACAATCCTCGTGGCCAAATCCAAGCTGTTCTGCAAGCTCAATCATATTCTTTAACTCCAAATTCAATCACTGCCATACCTATTTCCGTCGCTTCTGTAATCGTTTCAACACCTTCAAATCGTCCTACGGCAGCTGCCATCGTATTACCATTGATAGTAGCCGGATTCATTTTACTCTTAGCTTTATGTTTATGTCTTCGAGCGAGGAAACATTCTGCCAAAACGAAAGAATGGAAAGAAGAACAAGGACGATCGTCAATCGAAAATGATCTGAGTGAATATAAATTGGGATATGATAATATGTCAAGAAATGGAAATACCTTAGGTGTTCAATTTTCAGGTGGACATGGATATGAATCGAAGATGGAGAAAGAAGATTATGATCATGAGGACAAAAATGAGAAACTCTCTTTTGATAATCAAGTCAGAAACAGTTCGGCGGATTCAAGGAATGGGATGGAAAAGGAAGAAACTATCGTTAGATGTTCATCAGTCGACGATTCATTAGATGATGAGGATGATAGATTCACCTCTTTACCACTATCTAAATGTCGTTCTTCACGTACTTGTCGTTCCTCCGTTTCCTCGAATACTTCCCAATCTTGTGGTTCACATTCTTGTCATTCTTCAACCTCTTGTCATTCTTGTCACTCGTCGAGATCATCAAGAACATATCGACCTTCCGACCATTTCTCTCGTGGTGTTCATACGAATCATAATAATCCTCGGGAAGAATATATCGACAATTATCATCGTGTACCTTCACCCATCTCGACACGTTTCACTAGACCATTTGCAAAAAAACGACCACCAACTCCTCATCCACCGACGCAAGACCATCATTCCATCCATCCTCATGCACAAACACTTTCCAGATGTTCAACCGAAACAAGTGATCGTCATTGTTCTTGCTCCGACCATCACAGCTCTCATCATGCTCATGTTCACACTTCCGTTCCACCTTTGGCGCATCGTAAACCGGATCATCCCAGTTTTATGAGACGAGGTCATTCGCACCCCCCACTCTCACCAAGCTCCCCTTATACATCACATCTCATGCCTGATTCTCTCGCTTCTCGGTCCGTGTCTTCTTCTTCCGGAGGTTATTCAGTAAACGAGGCCATACTCGGTCAAGCGAGAAGAGGAGATAGAGTCTATGCCACTAGATTTCCAAGATGTCCATCTCAACGATCTGAAATATCACTAGCGGCAGGAGAGTTGGAAAGGTTGAAACGATTAGATAAAATGGAGAGAATGGAGAGACTTGATCGGTTGGAAAGGATGGAAATGCCTATATCATCAAGAGATGTGGAAGAAGGTAGAGTAGTGGATGAAAGGTATGTCAGCAAGGAAGAGAAGGGGATGAGTAGATCTGGAGAGAGGATGTCTAGGAATGATGGGTTGAGTAGGGTGACAGGGATTAGCAGAGTCAGCGGGGTAAGCGGGTTGACAAGGATGAGTGGGAGAAGTAGAGGAGGGACTTTGTACGAAGCTCTCAGGAAGGCTATTGGGGAGCGATGAGACCGACTGAACGACTGTGAGACCGTAGCGAGTTTGCAGTAGGTTTTGACGGGACTGTATGACTGTCTTGTAGTCATAGTGTGTATGTGGGGATAGGAGAAGTAAGTACGAGGTGTAGCATGTACTTGACAGAGTTGTGACAGGGGAAAGATGCATCTTTGGGGATTGAATGGACAGGCACAGGTCACGGGACCACGGCTCAACGGAGTTTGCGGTGATATACTTGATGATAACCGATGTGGCGCAACATGTTGACTTTGCAACACGCGACTTTCTTTCTTTCTTTTCGAGCTCCCTCTTCTCACCTCCTCTTCTCTTTCTTTTCCTTCATCTTGTCGCTCTTCGCTTGTCCTGTGTCTCGATCTTGTTCTTCTTCGCTACCAGTTCAAGCTCCCTGGCGGTCTTTTTCTCACGTTCAGTCGGCCCCCTTAAACCTTCACGTCCCTTCTGACATGTCAGCCACTCCTCTCTCTCATGCTAAGCTCATCTCCGTACCTACCCCTTCGACACCTTCCACTCTCAAACGTCCTCTCCCTTCTCACACCCCTCTCGACGGATTCAAACGTCTCAAACCCACCCCTATTACTCCTTCTGCCTTAGACTCACGATCAATGATCAAGACCTCTTTCCCAACTCACCTCGGTCCACTCACTCCGACCACTTCGACCGTTGCCTTCTCATCTCCTCCTAAACTGGCCTCCTCTTCCCCAGTCAGGATCCAGCCTACTTCTCCCATCCGTTCCTTACTTCCTCCACGTATACGTCGCAAGAACCAATCTTCATTCCTCAAAGCTTACACGCCACCGATGGAAGTGTCACTTTTCCCCGGACAAACTCTCATTTTCGGACGACATCGACATAGCTCAACTTCGAAAAGTAGTACGACCCTGTCTGCTTCAATCCCATCGACCATGCTAAATATTTTACATGGACAGAACAATCAAGTTCTTGTGATGGACCTTCCTAGACAAGCGACTCACGCATCGAGAGTTCATGCTGCGGTTGAAAAGCTTCAAGATGGACAAGGAATGAGAATTTTAGTTGTTGGTCAGAACGGTCTCAGGGTTATGTCTGGGGGTAGAATCAAACGAGTGCTGAGAGGTGAAAAAGTGGACATCTATGGTGACGAAGTGGAATTGGATTTTTATGGATGTGTAGTGAAGGTCACCATGCTGAAGGAGAAAAGAGAAACGAGTAGTTTAACTCCTATTTCCAGTTCACCAACAAGGAGATCATTACCTCCTTCTAGTCCACCCATAATGACACTCGATCTACCCGAAGACGAATCACATGAGGATGAACCGAGTTCGAGAGCTTCTACTCCTCTTTCAGAAGCGGAGGATGAGTCTACCTCAGCTAGGAAGCCTACTTCACAGACAATGGAGATGGGTCCGGATAATGAGGTGGTTGAAAAGGAGCAAACTGTCGAAGTCAAACGGGAGAAGATCTTCTCAGTCTTGAATGAAGAGGTCGTGGTTAACAAATCGAGTTCGCTCTCCCCTCCACCACCGCCCGGCATGCCGGAGGGAGTCGACTTAGCTGCTGTTTTAGCCACCACGGTGGTGTTTTCAGGAAGTAGTAAATTATCTTTGCCGGACCTGGTGAAACATATGTTAGAGGTGAGTTGAGTATCTCTACTCCTTCCAGTCACCTTTCTTCTTTTGATGTGATGTCTCCTTTCTGTCATAGCAGACGATCCTTGCCCGGATCAAAGACGTAGCACTGACCCATAGTCTCAACCGAGTCTCAAAACTCACGGCGATGAGGAAATCTGGGCAGTTTGGTGTGCTGCCGAGTTAGAGAACAACCCCATGTTCGGTAAAGTTCAAAGATCTGGAAAGGTGAGCTTTTTTTTTTCAAGGCGAGAAATTCGTGCTGATAGAAAAAGGACTCATCAGGTCGTCCGTTACTCGCTCATTACTTCTATATACCCGATCGTGATCTCGACACCGCACGTGCGACTCAACTGGGAGGTTTAGTACGTCCTCTCAGGACCGTTCAAAGGGCTGGGGGAAAGGCGATTGACTGGCGTCCTGTTGGAGGGGGGAAGCGAAGGCTTTGAGCCTTCCGCGAACTCTGCTCAGTATAGCTCAGCCGATCGGCAGATCCCCAATGCCGGAGACTCTGGACACCAGAACTCAGGTCGATCATCGGGGATCTTAATAAGACGAAAGGGAATAGGGCCGTAGAAGATGAGAATAGCGTCGAAGTCGCTAATGTCTAAAGACTGAAAGAAGGAGTTGAGGTAATCGGCCATGACAAGTCGATCATTGATATGATTCATATAAATTGTGTTACTTATTCTTGAGTTCTTTGTGCATGAATTCTTGTTCATCAATCTTGAGAGAATTGGTCTTACAGTTTATCTAAGTGCTCCGTGCTCCAGCGGCCAGCGGTAAGCTGCTGATACAATAGAGTACAGTACTACTACTGGTGTACTATTCCTACGAGCATCTCGTCATCTTAACAAGCATTGACGAAGTGAACCTCGATTTGAAAGAAATGTAGGAAAAGTGAGGTGTATTGGTATTACGACGTCATAACTCTATCTCGATCCAACACCCCTTCCTTTCATCACCTTACATCTTCCTCTCCTCATCATATAATGTTCAAACAAATCATACTTTTCTCTTTGCTCGGTATGATCAGTATAAGCAGGGCCATCCTCCCACCACAACTTCCTCAAATAGTTGACATAAAGCCAGAGAATTCGGGACAAGATGGACCAACGACCAAGGATATATGTCCAGAGTTGAACGTCAATTGTGTTTTAGATGGGGATTGGAGACATCCTATTGGATCTTTAGGTAAACGACGTAAGTTTTTCCGTTCTTCCTTTCTCTCCCTTCTTCCCCCTCTTGATCTCTGCATTGACATCTTGAATTATCAGACCCGTTCGTTGTGTGAGGTCCCTCATGGAGTCCTTACTCTAGTCTCGTCCAAAGGGTGGTCACCACCCTCTGTATTTAAGTAACGGTTGATTTTTTCAATCCTTCTTCCTTCTCCAGGTCTTTTTCACTCACCAAAATCTCTATTTCAGGCATTCTTATATATATATGATAGACCTACTTGTCCTCGTACATGATGTCGACCTTCTTGTCCTCGTGCATGATGTCAAGGTGGTACACAAAGGTTTTTATGGTCTGAGGTTAACAACACAGCTTTCTGTCGATCGGGATTCAGATGTAATCAATGTGACGAGAAAGGTAACACTCGACTATGTAACAAATTATTCCAAGATTGTCATAGGAGTTGTGAATCTTATGGACCTATACCTTTTTAAAGTGAGTCATATTTATGATTTTCTTTCCTTTCCAATGTTTCAACGTCTTCCTTCTCATTCCCTCCTCCTTCTCTTCTTACCCACCCTAGCCTTTATCTTACACTTCCACCTGTCGCCAATCGCAATCTTCTTCTCTTCTATTCTGTAAATCCCTTATCCTTGACTATTTACCCCTCGTTTACATCCGTAAATCTTCACTCTACCTCAATGGACTTTGTAAAAATCTGAGAGATTGATGATCCTTGAATTGATAACTAACGAAAAGGTCTGCACCTCATGTATCCGCTGTTCAACCCCTATTCGGCCACTCCGAACTATTTCACTAACGCTTTCGGCCCCTTTCTGACCGCTTCGACTCACTCACTTGACCAATGACGAAAGACGACTGACAATTGACATCTGAACTAATCACTAACCTTAACTCCTCCCTTTCTTTCCTTTCATCACATCTCACCCCGTGCTACCTTTCATCCCTCGTGCCTCCGTGTACTTTTACAGGATCTGGGATCCTTTCGATTACCTTCCCCTCTCTCTGTTTCTCTCCCTTGTCCCAGGCGGACTTGGCGGGTCGTTATCTACCACTCTTGTTTTCTCCTCAACCCACCCTTACAACTTTATCCCTTCTTCCTTGTTCACCCAATCACTCGTCTTTCGAACCGGTTTGAAGACTTTCAACAAAAACGCTGAGCGTCCATCTGCTGGTCAAATTCAAACATACCCATTCCTCTTTTAAGCCTCATCACTCCATTCTTTGAGGTCTGGTACACGTTTAGAATTCACCTTTACGTTTTGGCAATAGGCAAAATGGTATCCATTGAAACTTTCTTCTTAGTCTTATTTTCAAACCTTGTCTTTGCCTCACCTACGCCTTTTCTCAACAGAAACAATCTTTTACCACGCCAAAATTCACAAGCACCATTCCGACCATTATCTTCCCAAACTTCCAGCGACCACTCAATAGAAGGCGGTTGGTCATCTCAATCTAGTTCTTTGGGGAGATCAACACCTTTTGACACTTGTGCGGCTAGTGGGACGGTGGATAGTATCAATATAGATCCTTGTTCTGCTCCGGACGGGGAGATATGTGAATTTCATTCTGGATTGTGAGTCCACCATTCGTTCGTCAATCATTGTCACTCCACCATTCAAAGGTCATCGGTCCGCCAATGTGTGTCTTCACACTCAACAAGGTTTCTAATCACGAGGTGAACTGGTCGATCACCTTTTACCTGAGAGACAAACCGAGGACTTTGAGTTTAACATGGTGTTGAGGAGGAAAGGGGGAAAGTAGCGCCTTGAGAAACGAGCTTGACTGAAATGAAGGAATTACACAATTACCATTCATTTCACACCTCAAACCTCATCTTCGAACCCAAGAAACAACCTTGTGGCTTATTCTTCAAATGAGAGTTTAGGTCAAGGGATAATATCATATCCTTATTCCGGCCAAAGTTTCGTATGTATTCAATCTCCTTTGCTTCACAAATACTTATCATTTCACACCGAACTCCCCTTTCTCGCCCTTCGACTCTTAATTAGATGATAATCCGGATCTCATTGACATTTGTGTTACTGGAATGTGAGATAATTGGGTTATTGGGAGAAGTTGACAACAGGATGCATGTGAATATACTTCATGTCCTATCCCCTCAGATCAACTGAGCATATATAAATACGAATTTAAAACTCTTGATAGTGTAAGTCACCTTCCCCTCCCCCTCCCCTAGTTCCCTATCACACCGACCCCATTCAATAATCCACTTCATACTTCGTGGTTTTGGACCCTACCATCTTTTTCTCATATTCCATTCACTTTCCTCGAATCCAATCATGTTCCTATTCAGAGCTGTACCCGTCTACTCTTCTCAATGTTCTGCTCGAAGTGGAAAAGAAGTCGCATGGTAGTTGAAAAAAGGGAATTTTGAAAATCTAAGAGAGTTTACATAGTCGTATAATAAACAGGACAAGAAGGATGAAGAGAGGATCACATAGAATTAGACGAATAGACAGAGGGCAATTAGGAATTTGACCAGGAGGAAATCCAAATGTCAAAGAGAGATTATGAGCTAATGGAATAGGACGTAGATTATTTAATGTTCAACATAACAGATGGGATAGAAGGTTTGTCTCTTTTCTGCGCAGGATTCAATATAACCTTGTATGTATCTTCTCTCACCATCACTCTTGACACTTTTCGTCCATTTTCCTTTTTCCTCTCCAGAAATTCACTATCAACTTCAAACCATCTCTTCTTTTTCCCCGTTTTTTCCTTCCAAGTCAACATGAGGCCATACCGCTCAATTTTGTTCTTCTCATACCTCATTGTCTCTGTTTGGAATTCGCTGATGAAGAAGAATCAAAGATTGAGTTCTTGGTCCAAGGATATAGAATCTCTGTGGGCAAACGGCATGCATAATTGACACTACGGATGAAAAGCAGACGTCAAAACAGGAGGAGAGTATGATACTACAATTTACAGATATCATAAAAAAAGTTGGACCTGAATCAACCATACTAGCAATGCATTGTAAGTCTCATTCTAACTGATGACATGTCAATTCATATCCAATTTCTTTAATCTACTCACGTTCTCACATGTTGTTAACATTAACGACGTTTCCCCACCGCCCAATCATCCTCTATCTTGTTTCTTCCTTTCCCTCCTCCTTCCCCTTCACCTCTCTGATGTTCATCCGTACCATCACCAACATCATTCCCTTCCCCAACCCCATTCTTCTTATTAAGTCTATTCATAACATCCATATAATCTTTGTTCATCCTATCTTTTTCCTTTCCTTTAGCTCTCTCTCTCAATTTCTCCAAATTCACCCCTTCTTGAACTCCCAAACCTTGTTTCGCACGCCATTCCGCTTTTCGCAATTTCTTCTCATCCAATATCGCTTCGGTAGCATCGGCTTGAAGGAAAGAACGGACGTCTAAAATGGATGTGGATGATAATGGTTGGAGTCTACCACCTGGTAGATCTACGTCCGAGGAAGGAGAAGGTGAACGAGAAGATAGAGAAGGTTGGAAGATGTTAGGTGTTATAGATCTTGTACGAGCTCTTTTCCTTGGAGGGGATTTGTCCCTAGGAGGAGAGTGACGTGATGGATTAGGAGACATCCTCGTTAAAGGGGAATTGTTTGAGTGATCGTCGTACTTGTGTGACATGTGGTGAGAATGGGGAGATGAAGAATACCGAGGACGTTTATAGTCGGGAGAGGGAGACCTGGAATTGTGACGGTAGTTTCGATTCCTGTGACCTTCTTCTTGATCGTAGTCGTCGTAATCTTTGCGATCCCACCTGCGATACTGGTCCACATCATCTTTTGGATCCCTCCGACGACGACTTGAGCTCAAATTCATATCTTCAGGATCTCTTCGATCGTCTCTTTTGTAACCCCTCTCATCTTCTTCTTCTCTGTACCCACGGTACTCGCCCGTCTCTCTGTCATCTCTGTACTCGTCGTGCCTCTCTCCCCCGTAGCTTCTGGTTCGTTCGCCTTCCATGTGTCTTCCCCTACCACGCGTGCGCCTTTCTGACGACCGAGATCGTGACTTCGATCTGGTATTCAATCTGATCCTCCCACCGGATCCTGGTGGTGAACGCCCCAACTTTTCCACATCAGATCCATCCGATTCTGACGATCCTACAGCCGCATGAAGATCATACGATCCCGCATCTACAAAAATATCTTCATCGTCCTCGTCTGCTTCGATGGTTTTTGTAATTCTTGTCTCCTGTTCAGCCGGCGCATTTCTCGGGGCGAGGACTTCCGCCTCGGCCAACACATGAGGTACTGTTGCAGAAGAAGCAGATAATGCAGAAGCCGTAGGGAGAGTGACATGATGAGCAACAACTTTCTTCTTTTTCTTCTTCTTCTTCTCCTTTGGAACATCTTCTTTCTGAGCTATACTCTTAAACTGACCCCACATCAGCCCGATTTTGATATAAAGGGGAATTGCTTACCCCTTTCCCTAACTTTTCTTCTTTTTTCTTCACCTCCTCGACCTTCACCTTTTTTTGCCCCTTTATCTCTCTAGCGAGCTGATCCAAATCTTCATCCGCTTGACCTTCTTTCTCCCTCGCCAACTCAGCTTTTCTCGCTGCTAGCAAAGCGTAATCCAGACCTTTTACGAGGATAGAATGTTGGGCATCGCCACCGAGATATTTACGGGTTTCTTCAATTTGATCGGCCTCCTCTGGAGCGGCAGCTTTACGAGATTCGAATTCTTGTAGAAGCTTTTCCACCTAATCATCAATGTGATGTTCGTGTTGATAATTCATGTACCTCGTCTTCCTCTCCTTTGACTGCCCTCCCTATACACTAATTCCCACTCACCGCGCTTGAGGTTTTCTACGTCCGCAAGCACAGTGGCCAATGGACGTAGGGAACATTTGCCTCTGCGGATTCTCGTGATGTTGATAAAGCCGGCACACTCTGCATCTTGAAAAGGAAGAGAATGGCTGCACAAACGAAATGCCAGGAGCAAGAGAAGGTGAAAAGAGGAGAGAGACAACGAAGGCTAAAGAAGATCGAAGTGGAGGGGCACACGCACATCTTTAAATTCATCGTCGACTCCCTTCCGTCGCATCTCAGCTCTGTCTTTATATTTCTCATCTTGCATCAGAGACTTTTTGTGGTGTTGTCTGGGAGCAAAGGCCGGAGCGCTAGAACCGGCATTACTTTCTTTCTCGCCGTCTGAGGGCTTTTTATACCTCAACATCAACATTAACTCTATCATTCGCTTCTCGCCAAACATGTCAAATACAGCACAGTATCAAGCTCATCCTCCAGTTCTCAGCTTATAGATTTCACTTCTCTGACCCCCAGGAGGAGCTGCAGCTGGGTAGCAGCTTAGAAAGGAAGGGAAGGAAATGAGATGTAGTAAGTAAATGGTCGACTCACAACTTCTCCTTCTCTTTCGAAGGCTTGATCCCCCATCCTCGTTTGGGCACAGCTGCACCGAGGACCTTCTTGCTGGAACTACTTCCATCAGGACGCGGAGCAGAAAGTAAAGATCTGAATGCGTTCTGATCATCATTTCACAGCTCCTCCAGGTCATAAAACCCACTCACTTGATCCATTTCATACGAGATGAGTGTATCGATTTCAACGTAGAAGCAACATCTCCTTTCAGAACTGCTTCGAGATGCGGTTGATGGTATAGTCACGTGATAGTGGGATAAAATAGTAAGAAAGTGAAATATGAATATATCCTCCACCCTAGGACCTTATCCGGGCTTCGGCCAAAGGATCCGCTTAATGAAATCTGTGGGGCTCCGGTATGCGTAGCCTCCGGATCTTGCCCGTGGCGACATCAGGCGATCCTGCCCTTCACTCCCTAGCTCTCTTCTCTTCGAAGCTTCTCTGCTCTCCCGCCTGATTTCGCCTCTATGCTGTATAGCTGGAGTACTGTAGCCGCTCCGCACTTGACGGCCCGCGGTCCGAGCGTCCGGTCTTATAGCATTTGAATAACCGAAAAGATCGGTGACTCGGTGGGGGTCGACGACGACGACGACGTATATAACCTCTACCCTCATCAACTAACCCCATCACCATTCAAAACAACACATACCATCATGTCAGGTCCTGTCTTCGCTCATCATTTTGACCATTCTGCTTTCAAAGGGAAAGTTGAGGTACCTATCGGAGTCTTCGTCAATGGCCAGTGGGGTACTTCAGCGGATAAGAATGCAAAGACCATTGAGTGAGTTTACCTTTTCCCTTCTTTCCTTCTTTGTGGCGAGTGGTATTGGTGGAATGTGGCATAACTGATGTGGAGTGTCATCAATCCTACCACTGGAGAAACTCTCGTATCTATTCCCGAGGGAATGCCAGCGGATGTGGATCTAGCTGTCAAAGCAGCACACAAAGCCTTCGAAACCACTTGGGGACTTAATTGTGATGGACCCACTAGGGGAAAATATCTTCTCAAATTAGCAACTCTGATAGAACGTGATTTGGATATATTGGCAAGTCTTGAAGCTCTTGATAATGGCAAGACTTTCACAGCTGCAAAAGCTTTTGATGTGAGGCCAATCTTCCCACATTCCTCACATCCATGTTGGGCATTCATAACTCTATATTTCCCCTTATCGTCATTGACAATACCTCTTTAGCACTATCTCTGATATTGAAGTCCAAAGCGTTTGAGTGACCTTCATATTTGGATGATCATGTCAAATAGCTACGGTAGATCACGAGATGGGCTGATCAATAGGTGACCGAGTCAGCAGCTACATTCCGATACTACGGCGGATGGGCAGATAAAATCGAGGGCAAGGTTTTGGAGGTAGTACCTACCAAATTCGTGTATACTCGACATGAACCCGTTGGTGTTTGTGGACAAATTAGTCAGGTTCCTTCCTTCACCTCACAATTGACATGGATACCTATACTTATGGGACTCTCCATATCATGTTCCGAATCCATCTACAAAGTCTCACTTGGGTAGAAAGAATAACAGTTGCTGACGTCCAGTTCCCTGGAACTTCGTTCGCATCTCTTTTGTCAATATATATAACAAGTTGACACATAGCCCCTTTACATGTTCTCTTGGAAAGTGGCTCCAGCTCTTGCGACGGGCTGTACTATTGTCATCAAACCTTCGGAGCTCACTCCGTTGACGGCTATGTATATGACGAAGCTCATCAAAGAGTCTGGGATTCCAGACGGGGTGGTGAATGTTATCACGGGGTGAGTCAAGACATTCCCTTCTTTTCATCTTGTCTTCCACCCCATACATATAGGCATCATTCAAGGTGTATGTAGAGCTGTCAGAAGCTAAATACCGAGGCAGGAGTGAGAAGTCATGCAAGAAGAAAAGGATGAGGAGCTGGCGGAGAAGGAGGAAGAGACACGGGAACTCACTGACCTTCAGATACGGCCCCACAGTCGGGAATGCCATCGCCTCTCATCCTGGAGTAGACAAGGTAGCTTTCACCGGTTCAACACCCGTCGGTCGAAAAGTCATGGAAGAGGCTTCGAAGTCCAATATCAAGAAGGTGACTCTGGAGCTGGGAGGAAAAGGGGCCAACATCATCTTTGACGATTGCGATTTTGAAGAGGCGGTCAAGTATGCTGCCCAGGGTATCTTGTGAGTTTCAAGTCGACTCTGCCCTCAATTCCACCCTGTTGAAAGGATTCATGACCTACGGCTTCCGAGTCGAACAAACATTTTGCTCCTAAGATTCACTTTGGGTCATTCCTTCTCCACGCATCCGCCCCCATTCCCATTCTTGATTTTGTCCCTTCACCCATTATGCCCCCAAATCTACCTTCGCATGGCCTCGGAATACTCGGCTGAAGGCGTGGTGGGACGTTACTGACAGGTTCAGTTTCAATCACGGACAAACTTGCGTAAGTAGCCACCCCCAAATTTCTCCCCCGCCATGCTCATTTCTAGTGCGCCGGCTCGAGGCTATTCGTCCAGAAGGGCATCTACGACAAGTTCATTCAGCGATTCCAGGAGGCGACCTCACGAATCAAAGTCGGGTGAGTGAAGTCACTTCAGTGACTTATAATTCATCACTCACCATGTCCCTAATGATCCTCCCATTACTTTCCTCTCTGTCACATTCTCAGCTTCTTCTTCCATCAAGACTATTATACAGTTTTCCTGACGTCCCCCGCTCTTCCTACCCCGCGCTGTAATCCTTCGGAGGTACGACTGATCTGCGATGAGTATCGTCCTGACTTTTAGCGACCCCTTTGACCCCGATTCGTATCAAGGGCCGCAAGTCTCTCAAGTACAATATGACCGAATCATGCACTACGTCGAATGCGGTAAACAAGAGGGCGCCAAGGTTCTCCATGGTGGACAACGGGTCGGCAAAGCTGGCTTCTTCATTGAACCGGTATGTCCCAGCATATCGACATCCACCCCTGTCGCTGACACCTAGACCGTTTTTGGCGATGTCACTTCCAACATGAAAATTGCACGAGAAGAGATCTTTGGACCGGTTATCGTTGTTACCGCCTTCGATACAGAGGAAGAAGTCATCGCTGCTGCGAATGATACAACATACGGTCTTGCTTCCGGTGTCTTCACTCAGGATCTTAGTCGAGCTCATCGTGTTTCAGCATTGTTAAAAGCAGGGACTGTATGGGTGAATTGTTATAATGAGCTGCACCCGCAAGTCCCATTCGGTGGTTTTAGGGAGTCAGGTGAGTCATAGCAACAACCTCTTATTCTCAATCATCTATCTCATCACTCCTTGGACTCATCCACGCCACAAATAATTATCCCCAAATCACCCGTTCTGTTTGTTTGGTCAATTGGAGGTTGTGGTATGCAGCTGACTCGTAGGTATCGGTAGGGAATGTGGACCATACGCATTGGAGAATTATACCGAGATCAAGGCTGTCCAAATCAACCTCAGTGCGAAATGCGCTATGCCCATTTGAATGTACATGTAATCGTCTTCTTACGTTTAATCAATCAGGTGTTTGTGTTGAACAGAATGGTCTCGGAGGGTTTTGGGAGTCTCAACGATGCAAGTTTGGTGATGGTGAGACTGTGACCCACGACAGGTGAATTGATTATCGCGTATGCACGAACCTGACCTGCTGGCTGCGTGGTCAGTTGTTATCTGCCGTCTATCTGTGACTCTTCCCAGAGCTTTGTGAGTGCACCTCCCTACTCTGTGATCTGTGAACTCCCCACCACCCTACACCAATCAAGCACCATACACTAAGCACGAAGCGCCTAGACACCTCACATGATGTCTTCTCGGGCTCGGCATCAGAGACGAGGTGACTAACCCCACATGACGCGTGGAGGTCCCGTGGAGCCCCATATTCTATCCCCAGACCCCGTTCCTACTGTACCTTCCTAGCTGATCGCCGTGACGACATGTCAACGATCATGACGACTCGCCGATCGTCTCCGCATCGCGATCAACCTGATTGGTCGATTGGTCGTCATGCCGTCCCACTTGTAACGTATGAAATGACGCTGCGATGGAAAGTACATAAACCTCATATCATGGACTTATACTTGTTCAACAACCTTTCATGCTCTTCCCCCATACCAGATCACTTTTCATCCTTTTCAAACTCACACACATTAAACCGTTCCGTACCACAACCCTTCGCCCCAGGAATTACACAAAAAGAAACATGTCAGGAATAAATACTTCCGGAGCTAACCCTACCGGTATGTCTTACAACTTCTTTTCGCAGAGGGTCCGAGGCTGATGTGAAGTTTGGTTGGAAAGAGATGACTTACTTTCTTCCAACACACAATCAGAGTATCCAAGTTTGGAAAGTGATAAGAAAACGGAGGTTGTGGTTGTTGGTGGAGGTATTGCAGGATTGCAGATAGCTTATGAGTTGTCCAGGGAGGGAAAGAAGGTTGTATTGTTGGAAGATGGAAGTGAGTCATACATCTCCTGTTCTCTCTACATCATTTCTCACACGCCCAAGTGCTAATGCGCGTTCATCACCAGTCAGAGCCTCATCGAGTCCGTGCAACTCCTTTTGTCTATCTTCATTGGTGGACTCTTGATCTTTTCCTGTTGATACCGGTACTGACCAGTAGAAATCGGATCTGGTGAAACTGGTCGTACTACTGGACATCTTTCCGTGGATAACCAATACAATGACTTTCTCGTAAGTCACTTTCATTCCTCAAACGCTTCTGTTATCTGACTACATAGAGTCTACATGGAAAAGAAGGAACGGCCAGTATTGCTGCGGCTCAACAAGCTGCTATAGAACGTATCGCCACGATCGTAAAAAACCATAAGATCAGATGTGACTTTGTCCGTCTTCCTGGATACATGTTCCAAGGTCTTCCACCCACTTCAAAAGACTATGCAACAAACACTCTCAAAGACGTATACAACGCTGCTAAAGATACTGGAAAATTAGACGTATGTCTAGTAGATGATGCTGGGATCAAAGGTTTTGAATCTGGACAAGCTATAAAATTCGAAAATCAAGCGACTTTTCATCCTACCAAATACATCCGTTCTCTAGCCAAGATCGTCGCCGATATGGGAGGAGAAATCCATGAGAAAACAAGGTATATGAATCATGAAGAAACGGAAGTGGGAGTGAAGATTACTTTGGAAAATGAGAAAACCATCGAAGCGGAGGTTTTGGTCATGGCTACCAATGTCCCTCTCCAGAAAGTGAGTGATTAACTAAAAAAGTGAGAAAAGTTGGGTGTTGATATTCCAGTTGATCATGATCGAACGACTTGAAGCTTTCAGGACTTACGCCATTGCCATGAAAATCCGTACGGAGACTATTTCTACCAAAGATAAGGAAGCGCTCTGGTGGGATATGGGCGATCCGTATCATTATATCCGTGTAACTCCACACAAGGAAGAAGGATATAGTTTGTTGGTTGTTGGGGGGGAAGATGAGAAGGTTGGTCAGCATGATGATTACGATGAGAGGTATCAACGTTTAGAGAGGTGGACAAGGGAGAGATGGACTAGTGTGGAGGATGTCGAATATAAATGGAGTGGTCAGATTGCCGATTCCGCTGATGGGTGAGTGGCATCTTCTCCTGGGCTTTTTTTTTCTTTCACGTACCTATCTTCCGTAAATTCACTTTCTATTCTCTCATCCAATCTCCTTGTTCACTATTTCCTTTCCTATTCCTCGTTGGGACTCATCTCTGACTTGATTTGAACCTAATTATCCTTCCACTGGAACGAACAAAACGCAGTGTTTCACTGACCTCAGAATCGCCTACATCGGTCTCAACCCAGGCGAGAAAAACGTCTACATTTGTTAGGGACACGGCCGGAGACGTGCACCTCCGGAGCTGCACGGACCTGATCGTTCCCAGCCAGAGATGTACCACTCTGGAGCGGAACACTCCCTTTAGCCATTCCCATTCAGAGAAACATCAATAACAGCTCCTCCACGCCATACAAGACAGTGTTGGTAGCTCCAAAGAGCAGATGCTCTATTGAGACAAGTGTAAGAGGTGACCACTAAAGTGCTGTTTATCATCACACGCTGTATTTGGCAAGAAGGTCAGCCAATATCTTGAACCAGGGGGGATTTTAATGGTGATGTATCATAGGTAATTGTTGCAGTGTTGTAGATTTTAAGTTGTGGGGCCAGACCACCATGACTCCAAGAGTCCAGAAGATGGTACCACAGGATATCTGTACTGTGATTTATGTATGTGGAGAGCTTGGGGATGATAAGAGCGAAAATGCTCCGGCCGTGTCTGGACCCCTCTGGAGCTGCATGGTTCTCTGGCCGGGTCCAAGAGGGGGGTTTTGAGCCATGCAGCTCCGGAGGTGCACGTCTCCGGCCGTGTCCTCAACACATTCATACCGGCGACAACGGTGATGGTCTCACATACGCAGCCATCGGCGGATTGATAATTACCGATCTCATTCTCAAACGAGAAAATCAATGGGCACACACATTCTTCCCTTCACGTCAACACAGTTCAAGTTTCCTCAGACAAGCCGTTCAAACACTTCCTCATGTCATCAAAGAAAATCTTACCGATCAAGTATACTACGCTAAATGGTTGACAACATGTTCGAAAAGTATCACGGATATTGAAGATCTTGTCCCTGGTCAAGGGGATGTAGTGAGGGATGGTATTAATCCTGTAGCGGTGTATAAGGACGAACAAGGTGAGGTACACAAGATGACGGCGATTTGTCCTCATTTGAAGGGTATAGTGGGATGGAACAAGTCGGAGAAATCGTTCGATTGTCCGATTCATGGTTCGAGGTTTACTTGTAAAGGTGAGGTTATCAATGGGCCTGCGAAGGCGGGATTGGAAGTGAAGCCATGAGAGGTCTGAGGGATGCCAGTTCATGTGCCATTCACTCACCATACCAACTTTGCTATTGATTGTTATGAGTGTATGGAATTGTTGTACATAAAACACCCCATGTATGTGTTTGACATCTGTGACCTACTTGCATGCAAGCTCCTTAGCCCTGTCCAGCCCAAAGATTGTCAGGATCTAGGTAACGGGCCTTAAACCCTACATAAAAGGTGGATATTGAACTCAGGAGCACTGGATCCAGTCCCATTATAAACACCTAGGACCGTGGAGGACTATAATCCTGACAATGATCTTCTGGCGCAAAGTGAGACGGAATGCTATTTGTCACTCTCATGCATCTCATCAGTCCTTCTTTCTTCTCAAAGTGATAACGTTAGACAGCCACTGTATAGGGGAGGAACGGTTACAACCCAATGGACTGCAATCCCATGTCCACTTCCTCTTTGATAGAGGTAGCTGAAGGATTGTATACTGTTGTACCCACATCAAGGACAAGTTTGTCCAGTCTAGATTCCAATCCTGGAAGACTACGCAAGGGATCTGTTGTGGGATTTGACAGAATTGTCTGATACAATCCATGCAGCAAACCTTCAAGGGTTTCACCATCCCTTTGACAATGATGTGAAAAGTAGGCCAAGGTACGAGTGGGACCGAGGTAAATTGTCCCAGATGACATTCTTCCTTCATTTACTCCTAGGGATGTTGCTGCCTTTTTTTCCACTGCAGCAAAGTATTGAGCAGCGTAGAGAATATTCAAGGCATCACGTGTCCTTATCACTTGTGGTCCTGACAGGCAGAAATCCAGAGCTTGCTTCACATTCCCCTGAGACAGGTAATCTCGGACTTCTGAACCTATCAAGTCAGACCAGGGCTTTTTTGGTCTCATATGGATATCCCCTGGCAAAGGGTGCAAATGTCCGGAGACTGCATGATGAACAGAGTTTACTGAGTCCAATACAGACCTGAATGGGCCGCTTGAAACCATAGGAGCATCAATCAGTGCTTGAAGGATATTCAGCTCTTTTGTGAAGCTCATCAGAGCATTACCATTCTTCTGCCGTATCTCGTCAAACCCGTGTCCTGCCACCATTTGACATATACTCACAAGCCTGGCTTCATTTGATGGCTCTGCTTCAGTGGGCATGGTCGAATGTTCTTCCTTCTTTCCACTGAGCTGCTGAGCAACTGACAATGTAGCCTCCATTGAAACAAGGTGTTCCCGGATGGGTACAAGACATTTGTTAATGAGATTGCTGACATCACCCCACTCATCATGAGGCAGGTACTTGGCAAGAGTTGAGTGGACATCAGTGTTCACAATCTGTATATTGGCATCTCGGCCCAGTCGTGTTGTGTTCCCATAGCCTTGACCTCTGATCATGGCCGAGATTGCAGACACAGTCGAAAGAGGATCATCTGCTGTTGTGGAATGTAACCATGCTCTCCACCATACTGGAAGGTGTATAGCAAGACAAGATGCAGCAAATAGCCCTGAGAGCCCCTTAACTTTGCCTGCCTCTAGTGAAAGCCAATTTAGGGAAGCCGTTTGGTATTGGTCTATCATAGCGTTGATAACCGGAAGTCCGGGCTTCTTCGGAATACTGAGCACTCTTTCCTGTAACTGAGTGCAGGGGACCTGGGTCAATCTTCTGTATCGTTCCAAAGAGGGTGCAATACTCCAATCAGACTGGTTGGGTTCCACCTTTTCGGACATGTTGCTGCTCATAAGCCAATTTGTTTGCCACCCGGATTGCTAAAGATGGAGCTCACAGTAAGTGATTCACAATTACTTCTGCTCAATGAGGTCTAAAGCCGTCAATTGAAGGGTAAGTAAAGGACAGAATTGAATGTTGGTTGAAGAATTCTCTGTATTGATTGAGTTGATGAAGAATTAGTGATCCCATGGTCTCTGTAAACCCTTTTGAACTTTCTGGCCTATAAGAAACCAGTGGCAAACTCTCAAATGGATCAAGGGAGCTAGCAGAAAGAAGGTCACCACTATGATGTACCCCGCTCCTCTCCACCCCTCTTTCCCCCGTCTCCCCGGCCGACTCGGTGGTCGCGCCTTTCGTCCGTGAAGATCGAGGCTATTCTTCCCCTTTGTTGACACAGATCTATCCTCCTCTCCCCTTTCCCCCTCTCCCCCACTGCCTAGTTCCCCCTCTTCACCAGTCATTCACACCTCGAGTGAGATCTTGACTTGATCCCCTGACTGAAAGCTCAGTAACAATCCTCCGGCTGTGAAGGAGCCGGCTACCTGGTCGATCATAAGTGGTCCGTGTCACTTGACTCCCTATGTCTTCCTTACTTGTGATACCTGACACATGTGCGGTCTCACCTACAGCTAAACTCTTGTATTGCTTCTTTGGAAATCAAAGGTCGGCTCTGCTTACCTTTCAATTTACATACTTGAGTAGACCTTCCTTACCCATAACCCAAGCACATGATAACATCATGCTGGATTGGCCCCCCTTAGTTGCACGCAACGGTGAAGCTACTCTTCTGCCTCGTGAAATGGACTGGACTTGAGATTGTTCCGCCTCGTACATATACCCCCCATGTGGGTGAGGCTGCTTTCCACCCTTTGGCTCTCCGTTCAGTGATGTTAGGAACACAACTGAGCACTCATGTCTACATATCCTCAAGCTAAACTATACTCATGCCATGCTCCAACAAGATACTCATCCATGCGAGAATTTGGAAGATCCCTTGGCCTTGACCTTCTCCCATCTCTCATTAAAACTACTATCATTATCAGGGCTCTGCGCAGGCTCACTATCATCATCAGTGAACGTCTCGAAGCCCTTCCTCTTGACCTCTCTGGTGTGAGGTATGGGTAGGTAAGACCCTTTCCGAGGACGCCCAGATGTTCCCAACGGGATATCCTCCTCCGCTGACCCAGCCGTGAAATTTTGACCTTCTTCCCACATCAGCTCATCATCTTCAAGTCTGCTGCCAACTCGCAATCTACCATGTCAGCTCTAATCAGTCATTTGAGACACAGGAATACAAAACTCACTGACTTAGACTTCCACTCTCATTTGGATGCAAGATGGGAACAACTGTATCAGCAGTGGAGCTGTGGATGGATCCAGAGATCATTGGACGGCCCACGGAGTTGTCTTGAGTCTCTTCGAGGGTTGGTCCACCTCCCAAGAACGGCCTGGGTGCACGAGTTCGCAAGGGTGATGGGATGCTAAAGTCCAAATTTCCTGCATGAGCGTTTCCAGACTCTACATGAGGCTGATACTCTTGTTCGGAGTCATTCAAAGTGAAGTCTGAATCATCAGCTTCATAATTCCTGTCTTCAACCGTGTCAGCAGTCCAATCTTGCGTCCAAGTATCTAGAGTATCTGTGGCGTCCTGCACTCGGGAGTGGGAGTCAAGGAAGAAGATATCATTCGCGGGACGAATAAGGGTATTTCTGTTCCCATCAGCACACTCAAACAACAGATCCTGACTCACATTGAGCTGGGGCGCCGGGTGCTATTAGTAGTACCACTGCGTGTTGAACGCCGTCTTGATAGCGTCTGCGAGTGACGGCGGGACTGGTAAGGTTCCATGTTCAGAAGGGTTGAGTAGTCTTGGTGTGCACGAAATGACAATACGATGAAGAAGCGAGAGCCGCTGTCAGGAAGAGGGGCGCCTTATCAAGCTCCCCAGCCTTGAGCGGACTTGACCTTCGTCTGGCTCTCCTTTCTACTGCTCTTACTCCACATCAAATTCCTCCTTTAAGCTCACTGCCCCGGAATTAATCAATATGGCAACATATGCGTCACATTTCACATGAGGAAGAAAGGAGTACCACATCAAAGTCTGAATGGGGCTCAGACTCGTGCTCCTCCTCAGTCAGAGGGCTGTTGCATAGGTGCATCCCTCAACGTCAGTCAATATTTGAGGAGACTATCTCTTGCGTTACTTGGGTTTCAAACTGACAAGTCCACCACCTTACTTTGTGCCGTGCCACATACTGTAGTGCACGTGCAGAGGGTTGCACAGATTGATGCTTGAGTAGTTTTAGGAGCCAATTGGCCCCTCAAACTTCTCAGTCAATGATTCAGGGGGCAGTTGGATTTGTTAGGGACACAGCCGGAGACGTTCAGCTCCGGAGCTGCACGGTTCAAAATACCCCCTTTGGACCCAGCCGGAGAAGCGTACACCTCCAGAGGTGACCGGACACAGCCAGAGCTTTTTCAAAATTGTGTTATAATCACTGCTTAGCCCCTCTTCTTTGTGTGTGCTACTGATGACTCTATGTACCACTATCTCCATTGTGTCTCTTTCACAAGCAGTGTGAAACTCTGACCTCCAAAACTAACCCAAGAGTCTCTTCTTGGACCTATCCGGATGTCCCAATTGTTGGTTATTCATGAGTGTGTGCAAGATAGTCTGGGGACCAGGTGTGTATGGTCATCACCAAACAGCTGAGTACTTATCTTGCTTATAAACTCCGTTGTGGTTCTCTTTCATGTGGTGAAATATGTATTTTA